GTCTTGGGATTGTCAGACCTGGTTGTGGTGCTAATTTGGCTTTCCCAAAGAGAAATCCAACTTCACTTTGTCCTTCTTGATTCGTTAGCCTGATATAAGCAACTGCTGCAATCGCCTTTACAAAAATCCTTCTTTTTTGCTGCAGTGGAGAAGGATGTATAAGCGCGTGGTATCTGGAGTTCTTGCAGACTTTGAAGACTCTCCTTCCATCTGCTCCATGCTGCCTCTATGGCTTCAGGTAGAGGCGGGTCCCACTCTTCTGCTCATGACGTAAGCTCTCGAAGTATTAACCTCCCCTGGATGGTGACAGGTGCAAGAAATCCAAGCGGGTCATAGAGGCTATTAACAGTTGATAGCACACCTCTTCGTGTGAAAGGTTTCTGTTCATTTACAACCTGGAATATGAAACTGTCTGCATGCATGTTCCAAGCCAGTCCAAGGCTGCGTTGGATTGGGAGATCATCGACAAACAGAAATTTTATATAACGAGGTTGGAAGCAGCAAGCATCTTCTGAACTCGCTTATGGCTTCTTGCTCTGTTTCAAAGGACTTAAGGCCATCGTCTACATAAAAATCACAATCAACAAATCTTCTGGCATTGCTTCCATACTCTATGTAAACCATAGATGGCTACAGAGCGGGAAGGACTATTTCCAAAAAGGTGGACTCGCATTCTGTATTCTGCGACGTCTCCCTTGAGGTAATTGTTTATGTCCCACAAAAAACTGAGGAAATCTCTGTGCTCTTCCTTCACCACAAAGCAATGTAACATATGTTTAATATCAGCAGTAACAGCCACCTGCTCCCTCCTAAACCTCATGAGTACACCCAAAAGGCTGTTATTAAGATCAGGGCCCGTAAGAAGGACATCATTAAGTGCCACACCTTCATATGAGGCACTGGAGTCGAAGACCACCCTAATCTTATCTTGTTTTTTGGGGTGGTACACACCAAACAGAGGCAGGTACCAGCACTCTTGTCCTTGTTGCAAAGGTGGTGCTGGTTCAGCATGTTCTTTGTGGAACATGTTCTCCATGAACTTTAAAAAGTCTACCTTCATCTGTGGTTGCTTTTCCTACTTTTGGCGAAGTGAAAGGAGACGGTTGTATGCCTGTTTACGATTATTAGGCAGCCATTGTCTAGGCATCCGAAAGGGCAAGGGTCAAACCCAACTTGGAACAGTCTTGATGAAACTCACTCTTCATGGTTTCAAAGAATGTCATATCTTCTATGGATGGTGCTAGTTTATGATCATCAGCAGTTAGCACAAAGATGTTCTCCCCAAGACTCTCTCCCAGAGGCGTTGAAAGGTTGCATTTAAAATGTGCTTGGGATTTATGCTGAGGTCTTTGAGTGAGCATTTCCTTCACTCAAATCTGACTTGTGCATGGGGATCGGCTACTTGTACGTCCATTCTCTAGAATGTAGGTTTTATAGGTGCTCACTTGCAATGGCTTGTGAGCAGCTCCAAGACACATCACCAACGATGACCCATCCTAAGTCTAGCCGCTATCTGGGCCATTTATCTGTTCACGGACCTTGTGCGCCCTTAATACATCTCTTCTCAACAAGAGGAGTATCTCAGCATTCGGATCAATCTGTGGAATTTTGTTAGCAATGCGATTAAGATGGTTGTGAAGGTGAGCTGCATCTGGAGTTGGTATTTCCGAACGGTTGTCAGGAATTTGATTGCACTCAAGGAGTGTCGGTAAAGGAAAGCTTACTTTGTTATCTATTGACTCTACAACATAGCCACTGGCCCTTCGTTCTGTAGACTCTTTAAGCCCTGCACATGTCTTCAGTGTGTATGGGTAACGATCTTCTGAAACCTTGAAGGCATCAAAGAACTTGGAGTGAGCCAAAGATCGGTTGCTTTGTTCATCCAATATAGAATACATTCTTTTTGTGTTTTCTTTACATCCATTTGGGTATACGTTAACCAAACATATTTTGGAGCATGTTCTGGCGCTTAAACCTTTGCCACACACTTGTGTGCACTTTGACGTAACGTCATGGTTGTCTGTGACACTCTCCTCCCCGCCATACTCTGAGGGGAAAGGACAGGTCATCAGCCTCCAAGTTGCTGGTCCAGGATAAAAGGATGCAACATGACTTGTACTACCACATTCTACACACTTAATTTCAATTGGGTAGTTTCTGGCTAGGTGTTCAGTGGAGGAGCAACAAGGAAACAAATAAAGTTCTAGTTTAAGAATCGTTTTGTCTCTTCCAAACTTTTTTCTCTAAAGCCTCTACATTTCTTTAAATGATGGGTTTTTTGTGTATAGAAAATTTTTTGTTTGGATCCAGCAATTCTTTGTGTTGTAAGTTTTCAAGTTGATCCAGTGATGAAACTTGTGTTTTATGAATAGATACAGTTGGCTTCATTGTTCTCTCCCCTTTGTTCTTTCGCTCTGCAGAAATTTGCTTGTTGAAGATAAAGCTGGGATCTGGACGAGCTCTTACCTCTGTGTGAACAAAATCTACAAACACAGAAAAGGGAGGAAAGCTGACACGATGATCACATTTAAATTGTGATCCAAAAGATATCCTCTTTTGTTGAATGTTATATGGGAGTTTCTCAACTATTGGATTAACCCCTCTAGAGATGTCCAGGTAGGAAAGTCCTGGGAAATAACCGTCTCGCTTAGCGGCTTCACCTTCTGATAACAGATCTGAAAGATCCAGCTTTCCAGCTTGTTGAAAAGTGCCTGCTCAATGGCTGCAGGGGAGCCATAAATTTCATCAAGCCGATCCCATGCCATTACAAGTCCCTTTTGTGGATTTCCAGTGTTGACAACCTTTATCCTTTTAGTTGTTCAGCTGACTCCTTCCCTAAATATTTGCTAAGGAGATTGAGCTCCTCTTCAGCAGATAGGTGAAGGACAGCTATAGCACTGTGAAATGATGTCTGCAAAAACCAATATTTTGCTGGTTGGTCATCAAAGGTCATCAGTCCTGAGGTTACTAAACTGCTACGGGCAAGATATCTAACATGATCATTTGTTGTTCTATCAACAGATGCATGTGCAGCAGGTGCTAGTAGTTGATTGCAGGTTTCTAGCAAAAACGGTCTACTAGGCTGAGAACCTGGCATCATGTGATTAGTTCAAGGAGGAGGAGGGACAGCTGTTTACATTTCATTATCACTTTGTGACAAATATTCTGAAGGGAAACATATGTCCTCTTTAACATCAGGCATATTGCTCCGGTCAACAGCTTGATCTGCCACATAGGCAGCAGTACTTTGCTGTTGATTAGCTTGAGGCAGACTGAAAACTTCACTCCTCACTTCAAACCCTTGTTCTAGTAAACCAGCCTCCAATGTCTTTACTTTAGCAATTGCAGCATCTCTTTCCTTTTCTTCCTTTATAGCATCAAGAGTTGCTTGAATTCATGTACAGGGGTTGGACAATGAAACTGAAACACCTGTCATTTTAGTGTGGGAGGTTTCATGGCTAAATTGGACCAGCCTGTTAGCCAGTCTTCATTGATTGCACATTGCACCAGTAAGAGCAGAGTGTGAAGGTTCAATTAGCTGGGTAAGAGCACAGTTTTGCTCAAAATATGGAAATGCACACAACATTATGGGTGACATACCAGAGTTCAAAAGAGGACAAATAGTTGGTGCACGTCTTGCTGGCGCATCTGTGACCAAGACAGCAAGTCTTTGTGATGTATCAAGAGCCACGGTATCCAGGGTAATGTCAGCATACCACCAAGAAGGACGAACCACATCCAACAGGATTAACTGTGGACGCAAGAGGACGCTGTCTGAAAGGGATGTTCGGGTGCTAACCCGGATTGTATCCATAAAAACATAAAACCACGGCTGCCCAAATCACGGCAGAATTAAATGTGCACCTCAACTCTCCTGTTTCCACCAGAACTGTCCGTCGGGAGCTCCACAGGGTCAATATACACGGCCGGGCTGCTATAGCCAAACCTTTGGTCACTCATGCCAATGCCAAACGTCAGTTTCAATGGTGCAAGGAGCACAAATCTTGGGCTGTGGACACTGTGAAACATGTATTGTTCTCTGATGAGTCCACCTTTACTGTTTTCCCCACATCCAGGAGAGTTACGGTGTGGAGAAGCCCCAAAAAAGCGTACCACTCAGACTGTTGCATGCCCAGAGTGAAGCATGGGGCTGGATCAGTGATGGTTTGGGCTGCCATATCATGGCAATGCCTTGGCCCAATACTTGTGCTAGATGGGCGCGTCACTGCCAAGGATTACCGAACCATTCTTGAGGACCATGTGCATCCAATGCTTCAAACATTGTATCCTGAAGGTGGTGCCGTGTATCAGGATGACAATGCACCAATACACACAGCAAGACTGGGGAAAGATTGGTTTGATGAACATGAAAGTGAAGTTGAACATCTCCCATGGTCTGCACAGTCACCAGATCTAAATATTATTGAGCCACTTTGGGGTGTTTTGGAGGAGCGAGTCAGGAAACGTTTTCCTCCACCAGTATCACGTAGTGACCTGGCCACTATCCTGCAAGAAGAATGGCTTAAAATCCCTCTGACCACTGTGCAGGACTTGTATATGTCATTCCCAAGACGAATTGACGCTGTATTGGCCGCAAAAGGAGGCCCTACACCATACTAATAAATTATTGTGGTCTAAAACCAGGTGTTTCAGTTTCATTGTCCAACCTCTGTATGTTCCACTTTCAGTTCAATTTCCCTTTTAGAATGTGCAGCCCTAGCCTGAGCTGCTTCAGCTTTTGCTTTAGCCAGAGCTATTGTCTAGCTAGCCCTTGAGCTAGATGTTGAACGAGATGCTCGTGAACTGACAGAGCTGATATCACTCTTTGTTTCCTCTGCAGCTTTCATGATGTCTTTGTGATTGCTTGTGGTTTAGTAAAGATAAGATGACGAAAGACTGTCCCAAGTCTTGAGGTCACTTATTTCTTTAAAGCAGTGTAGCTCTGCATAAATGAAGCTGTCCTCTTAGCCAGCCACTGGCTGTCTTTATGCCTTTTCACTTGGCTCCCCGTCGGGGAATTGAACCCCAGACTCCCGCATTACAGGCAGGGATACTCACCACTATACAAAAGAGCTTGTTGTTGTTGTTGTTGTTGAGTCCTAGCCTAATATAAAAGATCTTGAAGGAGGCTGGCTGATATATAAGGCAATGGTTATAAATAAAAGCTTACTGATTTAATGTTGTTAAATTTTGCTTTAGGGTCTAATTACGCTGTTGACTCCAAACAATTAGGGTGATCTGGTCAATGCAAACGGAACCTGATTTGGGAACCAGAGGAGGAGGGTTGGTTACATGGGCAGCAATTTGGTCACGCTCTGGGGAGGTCGGGGATGGTTGTTCATCATCTCTATACAACATGTGCTGGACACGACTCCTTTACCCTAAATGGCAAAGGAGTCCATGCTTTAGTCCATGCCAAAGGCACAATGTCAGACATGTTTGGAGTACATTGCTCTGCAACTCCTCTGTCTATGTGGAGGCCTGCTCTGTTGTACCTAATGTCAGTGAGGTGTGTGTCTCTATCTCTAAATATTATATTTTATTTATAATATATATATGGCAACATCTTACATCTTTCTGTGTACGTAATTTTATTTTAGACCCCAGACGAGATAATTGACTAAAAGGATGATACAAAGGTGAGTTAACCCATCTAAAGTCATTATACGATTAATGCCTTATTAATAACTAAGCATTGCACATTTATAAGTGACCAATGTTGTTATAAACTCTTAATTTATCATGAGTAAATTTACCTGCAGTACCTTTTTATTTTGGTTTCTTACAATAAAACTTCTGTCTTTCCAATAAGTATCCAGTTCACCGGAAGTGTCTATTGATATGAGAACATTTTGGGTTTGGCTCCTCTTTGATTGTATCACTCTTCTTTTGTGATGACATTACTTAACCAGTCTTACCATTTGTACTATTATTGTTATTTTACAGATACCAATTAATAAGGGTTCTTCTGTTGTTGTAAGTAAACTACAGTACTGCATAAGTGTTTCACATATAATACGGCTCATTTCTTGACCATTCATCATTACTTAGGCACTTTTAAAAAAGGCTGTTGGGGTCATCCATTTTGGTCCAACAGACCGACTAGGCTGCGCACGTCAACACGCACAGCTCCACAGACGTTGCAGCTCTGACGTCACCCGTGATTATAAAACCCGTGGAAAATATACTTTTGTTGCCATTTACAGCGTGTCTCAATGGACGCAACAGAGACGCATATCTGGAGAGACAAATGCTTGCAGGCGAACTGTTGCTCCACACTGCCAATACCGGAAGTGCCTGAAAGCTGGAAATCTGTCTGATACAAGAAGGTCAGAAGATTCATATACCGATCGAAGACCTGGCGACACCCGGCGCAGGTGAAAACCCACAAAGGTTTTATTTTCAAGGAGATGAGTCTTCCTCCTTGTTAATTAAGTCGACTAAACGGTTCTTCATACTATCCCCTTTTGGACGGATGAGAATTTTCCCGTTTTTCTTTTGTGTTGATCACGGATCCCCCCCTCGTTGAATTGTGCAACTGTTTTTCTCTGGCTGATCCCAAATCAGCCAGGAGTTAGAAGTTGGACTTTTAAAGTTTTCCATTCAAAGCAACTGCAGTCTGGGCCTGACCACCCCTTTGTTCCAGTTTTATTCCTGGAGTTTTTCCACTGAGTTCCCACCTCAGAGTTTTATGACTCTTTGTTTGAAACTTGGGGTAATCAGCTGCTATTGGCTAAGGGCACAACCCACCGTCTACAAGCTGATCACCACAATCGAGACATCAGCACACCAGGAGGGCTTCTCTTTCCAAGTTAACCCAAATTGCACATTTTGTCTATAAAACTGCTGGTTTGATCTTCATAGACACTCAATGTGCATATATTTTCTTTTATTATTGTTGTTAGGTAGTCATTTTTATCCCCTTTGTGTAGAATCGTGCTTGTTGGTTAGGTGAAGTTTTTTGGACCAGAATGGTGGTATATCAGAATTATACGGCTTTAATAAATCTTCATATATATATATAATTAAGAGAAGCGTTTGTGTTTATTTCATGCAAGAGTGATTTATCTGTTTATTCTGTTTCGGTGAAGCGGTTGATTAAACAGTGACATGGTTTTTGGTTAATAATGATCAATTATTAATAAGAATTTACTAAATGTAATTATTAAGGGCTTTGAGCCCATAATCACAACACCAGAGGACATCTTTGACTTCTATTCGTAAGTAATAATTTTGGCTACGAAATTATTTTTCTGAATTATGATTTTTAATTATAATTTTGATAAATATTAACTAATCAATAATCATAATCCTTACATTATTGGCGTCCCTTGGCGGGCCTTGAAATGACAGATACCACTATTGCACGAAGTAACATATTGTGATATCCTGGAAGCTTATGACCTCTGTTGTGAGATTTGGTGAAATTTTGCAGGAGTGATTGTAAGCTAGAGGATGTATCTTGACTAATATTGGCTCAATTCTACTGCAGAGGAGTAATAATATACTCCTAATAGTAATAATAATCTTTCTAAGATGCTTTTGTGGACGCAAGGTGGACATTTTTTCATGGTGTGAAATTCAACGTAAATTTCCAGTGGGTCAAAGCATGCCCTACACTTAGAGCTGTAGCGCAGTCAGCTTATTACCATAGCAACCAAAGGTTCCTGCCACAGTAGGAGGCATCCTATATGCCTCTGGTGTCCGTTGGTGTAACTACAGCTGTAACTAACACTCTGCCAGTCAGGGAGGAAGCAACACCACTGTCTGGTGGCCATTGAGTGAATTGGAGTTGCAACAGGATGTTCTCCACTGCAGGCAGGCGTTTAGTGCGATCTTGTGGTCACTAGTGAGAATTACAGTTGCTGCCACAGAAATTAACTAATTTGATTAGTTCCATTAACACAGGCAGATAATCCCATCACTGATGATCAAGGACATAACTTGAGCTAAAATCAAGTTATTGATCATTCATTGCTGCTGCTGCTCTGAAATTCATGCATTTTTGCAGTTTTTTTTTTCTTGTCTGTGAAGCATGTTTTAACCAGACTCATATAACTAACTTTAGTTGTCTAACTTGGTAGGCCCTGCAAGAAAGTAAATAAGCCATAATATGCATCACTAACATCTATGTGAAGCTAGGAATAGCGTTTGAATGTTTTAGTTTTGTTTATTCCACTTTTAAAATTTTATTTTAAAATTTGGATTTTCTATTTCAATTTTTTTGTGTGTTTTGCTTGATTTTTTCCATTAAAGCATAGACTTCGGTAAGCCACAGTTTGAACGGTCAAACCTGTGTGCCCATTTTAAGCACAATCCATACACCTGCAAGATATATACATGAATCATACAGCTAGCTGAATGCTTAGTCTGTTTGTGTAGCTGCTAATTGATTTTAGCGATAATTCAAGACTTAACAGCTTAGTCTGTTTGTGTTACTGCTAATTGACTTTGACGATTGTTCATAACTGACCAGCTTTTCTTGTTTTGCGTTGTCGTTGTTTTGTCATTGTGCATTTTGTCTGATATGGATAGAACTTCCCAGGCTGATGCTGGAGCTGTGAGTCAGGAGGACTCCACAGGAACGCAGACACAGAAGCGATTGGAGCTTTGATTTTATTGTCATCAGAGGAGCGTAAAGCTTCTAATGATTATAGCACTGAGCACTATGAAGCAAGGATTCAGGAGTTGCTCCAGGTCATTAAGAACCCACCAAATGACAGACAGGTGGCCGATGTGTTAGGACAGCTCACTCTTTTATATCAGCGAAGGGTCAGGTTGGAAGTTGACCACTGTTTTAAACTGCAGTTTATGTTGGATGATACGTTACAGACAATAGATGCCACGAGGTGTGAACTGTTAAAAGTGGAAGAGAAGTTGGGAACAGTTGAGTTGAGAGCCAGAAGGTTGGAGGTAGCTGAGATTAGCCAGAACACACCCCCATCCCTAGAGGACGGGGGGGTGGAGATAAATCCCACCTCACAGGTTGAAACCTCTGAAGGTGACCCATACCTGCAACACTCTGAAAGAACCTTCCACTCATAGCTAGAAAACGTAGAAGCTGCTCTCCAGAGAATTCCTTCCCAAGCTCATGGTTTTCCCCACACATCCACAGAGTCCAGAACAGGTATGAGTAGGCAGATTAGATTAGATTAGTAAATCCCATCATCATTAGAAGGAGTTAATGTGTTTAAGCCTAAACCTGTGTTAAACGTTGGTTTTTGTTAAGATAACACACTTATCTATAGTCGGTTTGTAACTGACAATGCAGTGTGTTATCTTAGCACACGGTAACCGACTATGCAGTGTGTTAAGATAACACACTGCATAGTCGGTTACAAACCAGGATTGACTCCCTCACATTTATTTTCCCATGGTTCATTGCGCCACCTATGCCAATGGCACAGGCTGATTCCTGTGCCTGACTGGAATTGGATAACTAAGCTATGATACCATTATATGGTTATCTTGTAATTTTTTTTTGTTTCCTTTTTTATTGTTGTTTCACTTTGTCTCAGGGTTACCAAAGCTGATGACCAAAGGAATGTGACAATGATTTGAATGTATTGTTTTGGTATGTCCTGCCCAGGCTAACCTTATCCTGACCAGTCCTTTGGAGAAGCGAACTGAACTGTGAACTTCTGTTCCTGTCAAGAGGAACACAGGGACAGTATTTTTGTTTTTTAATTTTGCTTCTTCACAGATCGTAGATCATTGAGTTTCAGCTCCTACGATGGATGGACCTGGTAGCTTCAAAGACTGCGGTTAATCACACCCTTCGAACCTAGGGAGGATGTTGGGGTTATCCATTTTGGTCGGACAGACCGACTAGGCTGTGCAGGTCAACACGGGCATGTTAACACACGTTGCAGCTCTGACGTCACCCGGGATTATAAAACCCGCGGAAAGTAAACTTTCGTTGCCATTTCCAGCATGTCTCATGGACGATGTAACTGTGGCGCAGGCAAACTTTTGATCCACACGGCCATTCCCGGAAGAGCTTGAAAGCTGGAAATCTGTCTGATACAAGAAGGTCAGAAGATTCATATACCGATCGAAGACCTGCCGACTCCTG